CGTTTCCAGGGGCGGAGCTAGCTTAAGGTTCGGGGGCCCCGCCCCCCCCCCCCCCCCCAGAATTTGACGATCACATGTAAATCGTATCGGATTATTCAAAAGTTATGTAAAACTTATAAAGATATATAAAAAATTTCGTGCAATAATTAATCACGGTTACCTCCTGTAGCCTAGTGGATTTATGTGTTGTTGTTGTGTACTTTTGTTGTGGTATGTGGGTTCGATTCCCACCAGCAACAATTTAGTTATTTTTTCTCACTTTAGTTTAATTGTATTTTACAACCTAATTTTACAACCTAATTTTAAAGTTCAAACTAGATAAATTAATTTTTTGAGTTAATAAATTCACATTTTAAGAATATTTTTTGGTTAAAATTTAACCAAGCTAATTACTTAATTTTCATACTTCATCTTTTTAGATCCTCTAACCTAATTGCTTATAAGTTATGAATTCACATTGTTAAGGATAACTATGAATATATAACCATTTTTCTTTTTGAAAATGCTAGTATGCATATTAATTAATTGTTCAATAATAATAACAACGAATAACATGGTACCAATTGAAAAGAATGAATACATTTTTGCTTGTCATTTACTATTTATTTTGAACATGTCTTGGATAAAAAAATTAGTTTATAGATTTTGTTTAGATACATTTAATTTTTTATTGACAAGACGCAAAAAAAAAAAAAAAAAAAAAAATCGGCCCCCCCGAGTTACAAATCCTAGCTCCGCCCCTGCACGTTTCATACGAGAGACATCAAACAAATGGAATAAAATAGACAGTTCAACAATAATACAAGTACAAAAGTTTTATAAACGCGTTTAGTACGTGTATGTATATTCTACGACAAAACGTGAGACCAAAAATAGACAGTAGCTTGAGTAAAAATAAAACAAATGGAGACTTAATTTGAACAAAAAAAAGACAATAGCATGTTATTGTGAGAATGCATTTACTAACATTTGTCAAATTATAGAATTGTGATACTTCCTAACTATAATTAAAGTCACAAAGGGGTTACTGTTTCATAAGAGGTTTGTTAACCTAAACAACTGTCATCATTTTTTGTATGACCCGCATGGACATTCTCTTCTTTGAGGTGGGTGACTTTTCCTTTGTCTCTCTCTTTTGCTTCCCTCACTAACATACCTACCGCTACTTCTGCATGTTTATTTGCTCTTAGATTATTGATATAGCTAGGTTGCATTCAGTAATTGAATCGGAAATCAAGAATAAAGGAGAAGATATATTATTTCTCCAGATTAAGGCTTCTCTGGCTCGTTTCTTGATCGACGATACTACCATTCATTTGTGAAATCATATCAAAGATCGTATTGGAAAAGTTAACATTAGAACATTTTATACTAAAATCGTAGTTCAATTGTGGTTAAACCAGACTTCAAACGTCGCTCCAACCCAAGTCTCCTTTTTATTGGACCCCCAGTACGGTATACTCGAAGTTCAACTGTGGTTAAATCAAGCTTGACATGCTGCTCCAATTCGGGCCTCAATTTACGTTCATAAAAAACCAAAAATTGTAAAACCATATCAGAGGTCATTCTAGAAAAGTTAACATTATGGTATTTTGTGCTAAAATCATAGTTCAACCGTGGTTAAATCAGGCTTGACGTTGCTCCAACCCAAGCCTTGATTTATGTTAAGAAAAATCAAACATTGTAAAACAAAAAACTTAGGTTAGGGATGACAATAAAAACGGGATCCACGGGCACCCTACCCGACCCAACCCAGTCAAAGTGGATAAAACCCGCATTGAGGAGTTGCGGGTCGGGTTCGAGGTGAAACTCATTGCACTATTCAACTGGTTTGGTTGGACTTGGGTTTATGTCTATCTGACCCATGGATAGCCTCCTACAACCCGTTGATTAACCATGTTGTTCATGGATGTTTATCTTTGAACAATTTCTATTGATAATTTGTGGGTTTGCTTCTATGTACTAGATTAGTAATTTTTGTATGGATAAGTTGTATGAGTACATTGGTGCTAGACATTTATTTTAACAGGAGATTGGTTATTTACTTTTCCGTCAGAACCATGAGTATCCATGAACCCACGGATATGTAGTGGGTTGAGTGACTTTGAGTTTCTAGAACCCGTTGCGTTTTCCGTTCCCCCTTTTTTTGCATACTTCTTGATCGTAGTACATCAACACTCTGTTTAGATAACAAGTCTCAATACACGTTCAGAAAAAACCAGAAAAATGTAAAACCATACTGAAGGTTAGACCGAAATAGTTAGCATTAGCCATTAGGGCATTTTGTGCTAAAATTGTAGTTCATCGGTGGTTAAATAATTTCATACAGCTAAAATCACCTATTGATAAGATTCCCTAGAAGTTTTTCTATTGGACCGCCAGTACGGTACAATCGTAGTTCAACTGTGGTTAAATCATGCTTGAAACGCTGCTCCAATCCGGGCCTCTATTTATGTTCATAAAAAACTAAAAATTATAAAACCATATCAAATGTCATACTAGAAAAATTAGCATTATGGTATTTTGTGTTAAAATAATAGTTCAACCGTGGTTAAATCAGGGTTGACACGTTGCTCCAACCCAAGCCTCGATTTATGTTAAGAAAAACTAAAAATTGTAAAAAAAAAACTAAGATTAGGGATGACAATAAAACTCTGGTCCACGGGCACCCTACTGGATCTAATCCGGTCAAAGTGGATAAAACGTGCATTGAGAAATTGCGGGCTGGGTTCGAGTTGAAACTCATTATACTGTTGAGCTGGTTGAGTTGGACTTGGGTTTAGGTATGTACTATATTTGTGATAAAGATTCCAGAGGAGTCGAGGAGCAAGCATCACTTCAAGCCACACGGGCTTTCAGATCAATTTGCAAACAATAGCACTTGAGCCGTAGCCAAGCGTGGCTTCTCTTGCTCTAGTTGAAAATAAAAGGTGTCAAATACTACATATTTTTCCCCAACCAAATACGATAATTGGCCTAAAAGATGACACATTCAAACACCTAATCCAAACCACCCTTTAAATTCAATTGTGTAATGGTTGTACTTAGAACCATCTTGAATGAACGAAGAACAAGTTAAGTAAAGATTTCCCAGGGCCTAATTTGTTTCTGCCTAATTTGTTTTTTTCGTTTTGCTTTGATAGCTTACTGAATCGTTCCAGTATTTGATAATAATAATAATAATAATAATAATAATAATAATAATAATAATAATAAAACGTTCCAGTTAGAAACTTCAAATTAATAAACTGTGGGACCTAACTGGTTAATTATGGCTTCTTGCTCTCAGTCTCAGCATCCTTGTCGCATTAACGATGGAATTAATAGTTTATCCAACATCATATGATATTATTTATTCGCATCCATATCTCATGTCATTGAAATTAATATCCTGTGTAGTTGTAACAAAATTTGATTCTTCCCTTTAATCAAAATTTTTGGAGGGATCAACGTAGGAATCAGCATCTCCTCGCTAGCTGATTATGTGCTTAATTAGTTAGACTTCTGTATTAGTTAAACTATTGGTTAGGAGCGACCGGATTTGGACCACTGCGTCCGGCAGCCAAACTATTGGCTAATGTCGCTGCCTTTTACTGAAATCAGATTGGAGACTCTGTCTTTCGCGATATCCCGTCTTATTAATACGCCGCAAATTTACGAATTTGGTGATTTGAACATACAATCTCTTGATGTCTCTACCAAGGATTTTTTATGGGAAGCAAGGTTTTGAAAATGAAAGTAAAGAGTACACTCTGCCAACCAAATATCTTTAACACTCGGATTCCTGTGTTTTATGTTGGCTTAGTCTCATGAATATTTCGAGTGTTGAATTTTATCGAAAAAAATCATATTGACTGAAAGATCGAACTAAAAAACACGTTCATGTCAACCCGCGTATCTTATCGGTTTCGGGAAAAAATCCGAAACTCATATAATTTAATTGGAAGCCATGAAGGACGGTTGCTGTGGTATGGTGGGGATTTGCGAAAATATTAGGAAGGATTGCAACTTTTTGTGATGCTAATAAGGGAACACTGTTAGGTAACCTTTTTGGCTGTGTAGTTAGCAACTTAACATCATATCTAAAGAGACAAAATTTCAATTTGGACGTACGACGACTCATTTTCTTTTTCTCTTGCCATTGTTAATTTCCCAACACCTACCGAAATTCATTAGAAATTTGATCGAATTTGTAGCTTGTGCAACCAGAAACGTTTCTTTCTAATTTATATTATTCCCTATTTTTTTGTGATTCTCTGTGAAATCCATTTTAAGGCTAAGGGGAGACTTGTCGGATGGGGGAGTCCCGGTCTTGCTAGAAAATTAATAGAACATCATTACTTTTTTGGGTCATATTTGGGAAAATTTTGTGAATAAATATTGTTTAGAATATTTTTAAAATCTAAGAAGATGTATATCTATAATTTTTCGACCTATTTTTTATATATAAAGTTGATAGTATTCACCCATAGTTTCAGTATGTACATTTCATATAATGTATGCTAATTGTAAAATTAAAAATAGATAACGACGTCTACTAGTAATAAAATACCGTTGTTTATCCCATATTCTCGAGTCTGTAAATAAGTTGATTTATATAACTTATTAGCTCAATCATTAATTTACAAAACAATCACATAGTACCAATCAAAAATAAAATGTGATATGTCGCATCACCTGCAAATTGAATAGACTAAATATAGAAAAAACGAGTCAAGTCAAATTCTAACACGTTAATCATCTGTTTCGAACTTTCAAGTTTCAACACACACTAACTGTTATAGAAGATAAATATGTATTCAAGTCAAATGAGACCAGACCAGACCAGACAAGGAACTAAGACTTCTTTTTTCTTCTTTCACACCTTCTAGTTGTGGCCTCCAAGTTTTACCATTTTTCACCAAAATAAAAAAAATTAATGTACCTTTCAAGTTATTTCGTCACTTACCAACAAAATATATATATGCCGGGAAAGAAACCTCCATTCTTCCTTTCCCCACTAACCCTTTCAAAAGAAGAAATGCTTCTTCTCCTCTGCTCCACCACCATCACTAATCCTCATTACCCTTAATCCCCTTTTTCTTCGTTAATCTCCCGCCGGAAATGCTCGTTTGGGAGCACACCCTTCTAGTACTAATCTCATCAATCTCCTTAATCTCCCTACTAATCATGTTCATCTGCCGCTACTACTGCTTCAAACGCCCGGCCCGACCCGACTCCATCCTCGACCCGGCCCCCCCCAGCCCGACCCTGCAAGACGGAATCGCCAAGCTCCACCACCGCGCCGGCGACGAATTTCTCGACAGCAAGAGGAGGGGGAACTACTACGCCTTCAAGCGCGGGCCTTCCGCCCGGCCGCTGTTCAATTGGGCCGATCACCCTTCCTTAATCACCGACGCCGTCGAGAACGGATGGACCCGATTCGGCTTCGTCGCCGCACAACCGACGGCCGTTTCCGGCTCCGTCAGAAACTCGATGCTCCTCGGCCTCTGCGCCGCCTCGGGAGATAATTATCATTACCCGCCGCCGGAGATGAGCTGGGAGGTGAGCCAGGCGTCATCGGATTTCATGCAGAGGATCCGCCTGAATCCCGGGTTGAAGCGGGTCGCCGCCGTCGGCAACCCGTCGACGACGGCGGCTTCCGTGATCAGAACGGCTCTGCCTCTGCCGGGTCCGTCCCCGGCGTTTCCGCAGGAAGCCTACTTCGAGGTAACAATTTCGTACTCCCGCGGCGGCAGCGGGGGAGGGGAGGAGCAGAGTCAGAGGAGCCGGTCGTCGTCGGCGGCGGGGAAGGGGGATGGTGGCGGGGAAGGGGAGAAGATTAAATTGATTCGGGAAATTCCGAATCCGAATTCGAATTCGGCGGCTTTGCTCCACGTCAGCAGCAGCCAGAGGATTAATAGGATTGAGGAGCTGAGGGTTTCCTCCGGTGGGAAGGATGAGAACAGGGGCGACGGTGTTGCGGTGGCGGTGGGGCTCTCTGTTGGCGGCGGTTTCCCTCCTTTTAAGCTCCCCGGTAGCTACCATGGCTCCATCGGCTTCAACTCCAACGGCTCCGTCTATCTTGATGGTAACTCCACCATCTCCGTACCATTTTAATCAACTTTTTAATCTATCATTTGGCATTATTAATTTTGACTTCTAGAACACTGCTAGCACTATGAGTGATTAACAAAATCGTAGTGGGAACATAGTTTATCATTAGTGGTAGGTTGTAAATGAGTTGAGTTGTTCATAAGCGGATTGACGTTCAGTTCGAGAAAAATTTGTTCGAAACTTAGATCGTTTATTAACAGGTCAATATTGAGCTAAATACTGTTGAGCTCGTGAAGCTTGTGGGTTAGCTCAATTCGGTGGCTTGTCGAGCTCAACTCGTGAGCTAACTCGTTTTTATCTTGTGAGTTATCTCAAACTCAACTCGTCAATGAGCCGAGGTTGAACTAGACAAAACTGTACTTGACTCGATTCGACTAACTCATTTGCATCCTTACTTGTTGGGCTTTATGTCTTTAGTTGGACAATATAAATTTACAATAATCGTAGAAGGCGTGTAGTGCTCATGAACATCGTTAAATCCACATGTCATGAAGTATTGATCATTATACTATAATAATGAAATGGTAATACTAACGCGATACTATAATCCAACGAAACCCATATAGGCTAAATGTGACAACATAACTCCAAGAGTTGGGCTAGTAATAAGGATGAGAACATCCATCACACCCTGGATTCCAACCTTGGATAAAAAAAAAAAGTGGAAGCATAATAGTGCCATCGGGACAGCATTAGATACAAACTAATGAAGTTGATGGAGTGAATAAACAAACTTAATGAACAGAGTTCAACGAAACCAGATAGCTAACAATTATTATTATTATCATCATCATCTACAAGCCTTAATTAAAACATAGAGAGCAGTTGTTCAATCGATCACAATGGTCCCTCTATCAACAAAACAGTGACATCGACCCTTCCTCTCTGTTTCTTTCCCACAGGTCTGAAGCTAGCATTCGAAACAGAGCCATCATCATCATCGGAGTGGGCAAGATCCGACAACAGAGTGATCGGGTGCGGGTACGACCCGAGGCAGAAAAAGGTGTTCTTCACGGTGGACGGCGACCTGGTCCACGTCATCCACTGCAAGGCGGACGAGTTCGGGACGCCGCTGTACCCGACGATTGCCGCCAACAGCGACGCGGTGGCGGTGGTGAACCTGGGGCAGAGCGCGTTCAGCTACGCGCCGGCGAACGCCCAGAGGACTCCGAACCCTTGCTTCGTCGGCGGGATGCAGGGGAAGTCCCCCGGTGGTGGTGCTCTCGGGTACGAGGACAGCAGGGAGCTGTTTTCGATGGGGAGGATCGATTCGCAGTGGCTCGACAGGAGCGGGTCGAGGTATTCGTACAGCAATGGCGGCGGCGGAGGTAAGGGTGACGTGCCGGCGGCGGAAAGGGAGGAGGACTCGGAGGCGGATTTGTTCGAGATTGTGTTGGAGGGTGACGGTGGGGAATCTCCCAACTCTGTGTTGTAGTAGTTGTTGCTTGATGTTTTTGAGTACATAGGGAAATTTTATAATTGTGGGGATCGAGATCGAAAATGTTTCTGTAAAGATTGATAGAGAAATTGTTTATAAGTGAGTTATAATGGTGAAATTTGATTTGATGGAGTTGAGGATTGAATTCGAAACTTACCGATTTAAAAGTCAATTAACTTATGGTTCTGTAAACATTGATAGAGAAATTGTTCATAAGTGAGTTACAATGGTGAAATTTGATTTGATGGAGTTGAGGATTGAATTCGAGACTTACCGATTTAAAAGTCAATTAACTTATGGTTCGAGTAAGTTCTATGAATATCAGAACTCGTTTTTGGATTTGTTTTGTTAAAGTTTGTAGAAAGGTGGTTTACTAATTTCAACTTAAAAGTTATAACTCGATGGACTTCGTTGATATTGATTTAGCAGTAGTGAAGAAGTTTTAATGAAGAGGACGAAATTGAGAAACAAAAGGGGATGAAGGGGAAGAAAATAAAAGAGAAGGAATAATATAAGTTTTAGGACTTTGCTACGGTGACATGCACTTTCCGGTCGATCTCATATAGGATTAGGTCGACCTAATCTGTTGTTTCAGAGTAAAAATAGTTTCATGGTGCCTACTTTGGAGATTCATATCTTACAATGGGCTAGATGCAAATTAGAGATTAATGTCTTGTTTTGAAGTTGAAGTGTCCCTCTACACATTAAAGTACTTGGGAGCTCGATAGGAAGTTCAGAAGACCATTTTTGAACCTTATCAAAAGGCTAAGCCAAAACTGGGAAACTGCCTGAAAATGGCCAAGTCTGGGAACGTGTTTGTAAAGCCTACTTTCGAGCTCAATTTGAGAAGCATGGATGCGATTCGAGTCCAGGAGCCTCTACCATGTTAAATTAGGTATGTTTGTCTACAAAGACAAGGCATTGGATGAAAGATTCGATATCTTTAAGGCTTCAAACAAAAGGCTCGAAGTTGCTACGAATGTTGTTTTTCTGGCAGCTTGCTTGTGCTCGAAGTCTGCCAGAAAAACAGCATTTGTAGCAACTTCGACCATTTTTTTAAGCCTTACAGATATCCAATATTTCATCCAATGCCTTCAATTTGTATAAAAACATGGACTCGAATCGCATACATGCTTCTCAAATCGAGCTCCAAAGTAGGTTTTACAAACACGTTCCCAGACTTGGCCATTTTCATGCAGTTTTCCAGTTTTGGCATAGCCTTTTGATAAGGTTCAAAAATAGTCTTCTAGACTTCCTATCGAGCTCCCAAGTACTTTAATGTGTAGAGGGACACTTCAGCTTCAAAACAAGCCATTAATCTCCAATTTCCATCTAGCCAATTGTAAGATATGAATATTCAAAGTAGGCACCATGAAACTATTTTTACACTGAAACAACAAATTAGGTCGACCTAATCCTAAATGAGGTCGACCTAATCCTATATAAGGTCGACCTAATCCTAAATGAGGTCGACCTAATCCTAACTGAAGTCGACCGAAAAGTGCAAGTCACCGTGACATGCATGTCACCGTAGGCACACCCCTAAGTTTTATTTTCCAATGAATAGTCTAAGATAGGTTTGAAATAATTTATTTTATTGAGATCAATTGATTCTCATTTCTCAGTATGTTACTAAATGTTTCTATTATTAATTGATTATGAATTCGCACTCCCCTTTTTGTTCGACAAAAAAAAATAATTGATTATGAATTCGAATTTTTATGATTATAATATTAACTACTTATCATTGTTCAGCAAAAAATATTATGGTTGTGAGTTGATTTTTGTTAGTAGAAATTTTCACATAGTGGTACATTTTTGTGAAATATGTTGTCTACATTACATTTCTAATTAAATTTGGACATTTAGCTTTCCTAACAAACGCACATAATAAAATTTGTATAAAGAACTAGAAGGCTAGAATAAATGGTTTGAAATTGAAGAACAAGAAGTATATACATCTGTTTCTACCCTTGAAAATCTACAATCTATAATTAAGAGCATTAGGCATGAAATTTTCAAGATCCATTTTTATGTGTATTGTCCTTCCCTCCTTCGCTTTGTATGGAAAAATAATTATCCTTTGAACAAAGTAAAAGAAAAAGAAAAAATCAAGTGTCTGACTAGACTTTATAAAAGTACTAGATTTGAGCCCGTCCGTTGGCCGGATGAATTAAATAAAAAATATAAACAATAAATTTTTTTGTGAAAACAATAATAGTAATTGCTCTAATCAAGTTACGTTTTATATGATATCCTGATCGAATCCAAATTATCTAATTATTAAAAATATAAAAAAGAACTTGTATCGTAAGTTTTCTGACATATTAATCATTCATGGACAGAAGTCCTTATCAAAAGTGAAAACACAATCCATGCAAGGAAACCAATTCCTAAGAAAATTAATCGAAACGGTTTAGTTTACTCTTTGTTGTCCTAAAATAATACAAATTTTCTTTTAGACTTCTTTGTGATTCCTCTTCCATCAAAATCATAATTTTCTCTATGTGACTTCATCTTTATCAATAAAAGAACTTTATATTTATCATAAATAGTTTCTTCTTTATTTCACCGAAACCCAAACTTTTGTGGTGAAATTCTAGGATATTTGAAACATCATTTTCATACTTGCACCTCATCAAAATAATAAATATTATCAATGACTCTCCTTTTTCTCTCATCATTGAATTAAGAAAAAAAACACCATCAACAATCTCTTAGTTATTCTCAACAACACTATTATCTCCATCACTAAATCCTTGTCACTAGCGTACTCTTTCTTTGTCTCCTGCATCTCATTGAAAGCAAAAATTTCATGGTAAAATATTTCGAAGTGTGAAATACCATTTTCAAGAAGTTCAATATACCTCGTCCATGACTTCATATCTTGAACTCCGTCTAAGCTTGCTCTTCTTCATCTCTCATTATCTTCAAAATAGTGTACTCCCTTCACTACAACAATCCACACATGTAGCTACAGAAAATTTCATGGCTAAAGTATACATATTTTGTAGCTAATCGATCTAGCTACAAAAAATTAAGTATGTGAAGTAGCTAGAAGTAGCGCAGCTAAAAGTTAGCTACACATTTTTTTACATGCATAGCTAATAGCTAATACTTTTAGCTATAAACATCATATGTTATAGCCAAAACATAAAGTTGTTTTTGCTACATAAATAAATTTGTTATAGCAAATTTATTAAAATGTTTAGCTTCACAACATGTGAGATATGGCTTTATCTAATATTTTGCAATGCATTGTGTTGCTTTGAAGCAAAATAATTTGTTTTTTTCATGAACTAGCAGATAACTATAGCTTGTAGAAAAGTATTTGTGGCTAGTTCAATTGTAAATGCCACAATATATTTTGTAACTAAACATTTTTAAGTTTTTACTACCAAAAGTTGTGTGGTTATAAGTTTCACATACAACTTCGAATAAACTGTTTATGGCTAGAATCACATATTTTTTGTTACAGAATCCTTTCTTACTATATTATGCATTTGAGGTTTTGCCACCAGAAAATTATTGTGGCATAAATAATAGGTTTAGCTTTAAATAAGAATTCATGGCAAGAAATTATATACTTTTGTTATAGAACTCTTTGTAGCTAAACTATAAAAACTAGTGTTATCTCTCATAAGATTTATAACTGTAGCAAAATATATTACTTATAGCTTCAAGCTCTTTACAATGAAAGGTAAACGTGGCTACAGTAGGATTTCATTTACATAATAGCTACAATAAACGTATTTTTCCAACAATAACAGTAAATAAATAAAATTGGATAAAACATAAAAATATTTAACATTTTTTTGTCGGAAACGGAGCGCTAAGAGGCGCTCCAACCCTTAATTATTGACTAAACGAGGGGTTTGAACCCCAATAATGTCGTAATACAACCAATACCCCAACCGCGGGTCCGGCGTGTCAAAAATATGTAAGCCCACCGGTTGGGAATGACCCATAGAAGCCAAGTAGTCAGCCACAAAGTTGCCCTCCCGAAAGACATGTCTGATAGTAATCTCCCAGTCCAACGTCAAGAATCGTCGGATAGACTGCAGAAGCATTCGATGAGGGTGGGTTGAAGGATTCGCCTGTATCAACGTGATGGCGGTCATAGAGTCTGTCTGAACCTCGAGTTTGCGAAGACCCATGTCCCAGGCAATACGCAGCCCTTGCTCGATGCCTGCCAGCTCGGCATGGGTAATCGATCCTCCCCCTAGATTCGACATGAAGGCCTTGATCATCTGTCTGTCACTCTGCCTGAATTCTCCCCCTGCCGCAGCACTATTTTGAGTGAGTATCAGCTATCCATCCGTATTTAAACTTGCCCACCCATCCGGAGGCCCGTTCCAGCTCACCTGCATCAGAGGTCGCTACTGGTTTTCTCCCATGACTGTCTGAGCAGCTTGGGTGGCCGCCAAGACCTGCTGTCTGATCATTCTCACCCGAGCAGCCAAGGAGGCTGGCACCGCAATATGCTTTTCGAACACCCAAGCATTATGATTCAGCCAGAGCTGCCAACAGACTAGCCCAAAGGTCGAAGAGTCCACAATGTTTCTGCGATCCGACAGGTAGTGGAGCCCCCGACGATCAACTCCCTACTGGAAAAATGTATGTTCCGGATCCCCTGCAAGAAAATGTGACCATACTGCACGCGCATACTCACAGACTCGAACGACATGAATGGAGGTCTCTGGTCCTTCCCCACATACTGGACATTTGTCCATCGACGACAAGTGCCGGCGAAGCCTTTCGGCGTTAGTGAGCAAACGGTTATGGAGCACCAGCCAGAACAAGGTTCTAGTGCGTTGCGGCCCCGGGATCCTCCAAGTTGCCTTCCAAACTGGGGTGGGCTGCGACTGATCTCCCTCCTCCTTAGTAAGGTCATACGCCGATATCAGCGTAAAAATCCCCGTTTGGGAGAACCTCCAACTAGGAATATCAGGGTCCTCTTCAAACGGTACGGGGTGGATTTGCAGCTGCGAGACCATCGGCTCCGGGAGGAACGCGCGGATGAAATCCACATTCTACTGGTTGTTCAGGACCATTTCGGCGACTGTCAAGTCTTTCGCCTCTTTCGGGAGGTTGACAGCGAATTCCTCAAGCGGCGGACCATCTTGTAACCAGCGATCACTCCAAAATTTGGTTTGCATACCACTTCTTATATTCCAAAGAGTCCCCTCCGGCACAAGATGAAGAACTCGTAAAACCCCCCTCCAAAGATTGGACACACGGCCAGTGGTTTGCGGCTGCCAACCCCGAGGCGTTGCTTTCAAATACTTCCCTCTTACAACTTTCGCCCATAAGCTCTCCGGCTCAGTGAATAGTCGCCATGCAATTTTAATCATGAAAGCATTGTTCATCCTGGTCGCGTTACGCAGACCAAGGCCACCCTCTTCTTTAGGCTTGCAAATAGTCTCCCAATCGACAAGATGAATCTTTCGCCCCTGATCCGAGCTTGCCCAGATAAATCCCCGGAGCTTGCGATCTATATATTCTCTTACTAAGACAGGTAGAAGCGTCGTTTGCATGGTGTAGGCTAGCAAGGATGAGAGCACCGACTGAACCAAGGTAATCCGCGCTGCCATAGATAGTGCCTTCACTTTCCACCCAGCTAGCCGTGCATCTATCATGTCGATGAGCTCAGTATAAGTATGCTTGGAGACCCTGTCGTGGATCACCGGTACTCCCAAATAGCGACCTAGATCATTAGTCTTTGGGATATTCAAGGCTTTGCTTATGTCATTCCCGGCAGCGACAGTCACATTCTTTGAAAAATAAACACGCGATTTCGGGCGGCTCACTTGTTGGCCTGAAGCCTCGGCAAACTCCTCCAAGCATTTTAGAATCACTTGAACCTGTTCCTGCGATACCACACTGAAAAGGATTAAGTCGTCAGCGAAAAACAGATGTGATAGCTCCGGGCCATTACTCGACAATCGGATCGGCTTCCATCTTCTCTCTGCCACTGCCGCCGAAATCAGATGGCCTAACCTTTCCATACACAGGGTGAAAAGGTATGGCGAGAGGGGGCAGCCCTGTCGGAGCCTTCTCGAAGGTGTAAATGCCTCCGTGACTCCGCTATTCCACTGTACCTGCATAGTTGCCGAAGTAATACAGTTCATCGTGACGTTGATGAACTGTTGGGGAACCCCTGTTTCAACCAGCGTGTCGTTAACGAAGCTCCATTTGATATGGTCATAAGCCTTGGCCAGGTCGATCTTTAGGACCATCCAACCCACCCTGCCTGACTTCGCGTGCATCGAATGGACCACTTCCTGCAAAATGCAAATATTATCAGTAATCTGCCTCCCAGGAACGAAGCTCGTCTGTGTCTCGGGCACCAGACTTGGCATCAGAGGTTTGAGCCTCTCAGCTAAGCACTTAGTGATTATTTTGTAGCTGTGTCTCGTGTAACAGTAATAAATAATAAATGCTATCAAATAGGAATATCATCATCATTAAAAAAATCCATAAAAGGGCAATCCCAATTCAACCAAATAGTAGGAGAACTTACAAAATAATAAACCGTGCCAAATATCTATAAAAACCCAAAATAATAGCAACAGAGAACTCTCTGAATGATTACAATAAAAACAAATAACTCTCTAAAAGTTTTGACCATTTGATGACTCATTCACTTAATCACTTCCCGTAACCTGAAAAATAAAAACAAAAAAGCTTGTTAGAAATGTGAACGAGGATTCGTTAAATAATTAATAGTGTTTTCACATATATATTTGAAAATATTCGTTAAATTAATTCTGAAAGACATACCTCATCATTTGAATTCTCAAACTCCTCACTTGAGGATGTAACTCCTCTATTAGCAAGCAACATCCAAAATTTTTCTTCCCATCTCTTGTTCATTTCAGTCATTTGCTTTTCTAGATCTTTTGTAATATGATTAACTCATTGATTAGCTTCCCTTTTAGCTTGTTCGACTTGTGCACTAGCTTCCCTTCGAGCAGCTTCCACTTGCTTTGTAAGTTCAGCCTTTATTGGTTTAACTCCAAAAAATTCTGTTACGCCTTTTCCTGGTCCATAAGCACGTACATAATCATTCTTCTCAGAACCAAGAACATTCTCAAATATTTCTTCGTCATCCATGGAGATATCCCCTACAACTCTTTGTTTTTTCAGCCGATCAAATTGACACTCACAAGTAAATTAGTTAAACATCCTATTCATAACTAACTAGCATAGGGCCCGGCCTTATGGCCGGGTTTGCCCGATGACCATGATATCAAAAGTGTTTGTTTTGTGATGATTTCACAACTTCAACTTTCGTATTTATAATTTATTAACGTATAAGTCTTGAGTAAAAGAACTATTATTGATTATCATGAGCAATGAATTATATTGTATTGATATTCTTGCATCTCAAATTATTGTGTTTCTAAATCAGGAATCTTTCACTTGGTAAGTCCTTCCAACTAATTCAATTCTAACCGAAATAGAAAAGATATGAATTATTTGATTAGTCCAATCGAAAAGATTGTAATCCGACATATATCTTAAAACTCAGTTTCCAAATCACATTGACTACAAAAATTAATTCCATGATCTTCATCTACTTCCATAAGCTTGGCCAGTAATTCTAATTTTTGTGAAATAACATTTACATTATCTTATGTGGCTATGATAATACTAATGTACTAATATTTTATTTAAATATAAAAATATTACAATTATCTTAGTGAAACTTGAAAAAGATAAAACTAAATATGAAATCTACAATTCAGATTCCATCTTAAACCTAGAAGGATCTCTCTTGTTATGGAATGGTAATGGGCAGACCGAGACAAATATTTTGATATCCATACTCGTCGAAATTTATTACGACCGAGAAAAATCGGGAAATTTATTATGTGCGCGTGTTAGGATAGGTTGACCCATATGGGTATATACATTAAATTTTAAAGAGAAATATTAAAAATGTGAACTTTACATTGAAAAGTCAAGAAACAATATATAACATGACAAATGTAGTTAAATTAATTTGCAAAATTAAGATTCTTACATATCCACCGTTTTGTTATAGCTAAAAGTAAAATTCGAAGTAATTTGAGAAAATTACATACAATTTAGATAAAACATGTCGAGAATGAGCTGAGTTAGATCAAGTAGAATACTCATACCCGCCCCAACCTAACACATATCAAACACGTCCCATAAAATAGATGACGTCAAAATTGCAATCTATACTTATTTTGAATTAAATCATGTGATGAAATAACTAATATGATATATTTGTACGGAAATAAAATTAGAAATGTTGCAAATCTGTTGATATGTCCAAGCCCAAATAAATAGAGTTTGGTGTTTTAAACTTTAATGACTCGCCTAGGCCCTAGGGGTTGTGGACCTTGTGGTTGTGGGCTTGTAAAAAGGCGGGGGGAAAGTTAGAGTTGGTGAGTACGTAATTTATTGGATTGTAAGTTTACAATAATATAAGAAAAAGGAAAGGAAAAAAGAAAAAGAGCGGCAGTTGCTTGGAAGAGCCAGAGAGGAAATATACAAATATAACCCTCCCCAATATGCGGTCTGCGTTGCAAAGGCTGAGGTGGCAAACGCCATTTATTGACATTGGCTTATAGGTATTTGTAGATCATTTACTAGAAAAAAATAAAAGAGACTTATATATATAGTATATGGAGAGAACAGTAATATTGACTTACCACTAACGAGAGTAACATCTAAAATAATTTGGTGAGCTATCATGAATTAAAGTAAATTTGCTTGTTTCTATTATTGATACCAGTGACTTTTGCTCTACATAAAGAAATTAAAATACACTTACAATGACATCTTGTGAATTAGAATCCACCATTTTCCCTTTCTTCCTTTTACGGGATTCAATCCAAACTTCGACACGGGAAGGAGTTTTTCCATTGGCTTTTTCTGAAAGAAAAAAATGGTAAAGCTATTAGTCTTTATAAAAATACAAACTATAGGCAAGTGTGCATATAGGCTTATAATATATCACATACCATTTGGTATCTAAGTCGAGCAATACTCTTTGTTCCTGTATAAAGAGGCATTGAACGTTTTGACCTATTATTTTTGTTTCTCAAACGTTTTTCCTACATAAACTATGAATCATATATATGCTATAATTAGTACACAGGAATTAGATATAGTTATTTTCCATTCAAAGAAAGTAAGAATATCATGTTACCTGAAATGTTGGATCACTCCATAAGTTAACAAGATACTTCCAATCTTCTAAAGAGAGGTGGGATTCCTTGCTTTTGCATCATCTTTCAAAGACCAAAGAGGTGGGATTCCTTGTCCTTGCAAGAAGTGTAATAATGTTTTACACTTGAACAAAGAAGAAGTAAGGGCTCACTTAATCATGAATGGTATGGTCAAGTCTTATACAAAATGGTATTATCATGGGGAAAGTTCTGTTCAAGGTGTGTGCTCAGTTAATGAATCTATGATGGAAGGAGGTTGTGATAGCACAACTGATTTGATTAAGGATGTTACAGGTCCTGAAATCATGGATGTTATCATGTCTGATGTGCAAGATAGGGAAAATGTAGGGTCAAATCCATATGAACCTACTAAGTACAATGAGGCAACATCAAGATTTTTTAGGCTTCTAGAGGATGCTGAACATAAGTTATATCCTGGTTGTGAGAATTTCACAAAATTAACTTTCATTGTGAAGTTGTTTCAAATCAAGTGTCTTTTTGGAATAAGTGATATTGCAATTAATAAGATTCTGAAGCTATTCAAAGAAGCACTTCCATCTGGGGAGACATTGCCTAACTCTTTTTACAAGGCAAGGAAAATAATCAAAGATTTTGGTCTTGATTACAAGGAAATAGATGCATGTCGAAATGATTGCATGTTGTTTTGGAAGGAGCATGAAGATGCATT